TTCGCGGACCCACGACATGACTTTATCCTTGTTGTATGGGGAAAGGCCCGACGTGTTGATAGTTAATTTCAGCATTCCTTCCCCTTTACCTACTTGGATAGTAACTGGTTTAACCATTAAGCCTGCCCGCTCTAGAATGTGAGCTTGATTACCAGTGGCCTACTTTCCATTATTAACGCACATATATTCATTTCCCTTTTTATTTTTATTTATTCTTTTACAAGGAAGGGTATATTCTAAATGAATGTAATGCATAATGTAGAGATAGTTGAGAATTGATAAATATCAGTCTCATTGATTTGTTTACCGGTGAATGCTTAAATAGATTTTGACAGTGCCAAGAAATTAAGTGGTTGATGTCTATGTGAAACACGTCTTATTAATGTCTAAGTTTGCACTTTTTGTACCAAAACTTTTGTCTTAATAAATTCATATTTGCCACAAAAATTATTAATAAAACATTTTTGTCATAGTGGGTTTTTTTTTGTTGCAAAAATTGCATATTAGATTCTAAGAAGGCTTGCTTCAATAGACATATCAAAGTAAGAACCCAACCATAATATTTTCAAAATTGATTTGGGCCTCTTTTTAGAGCGTAGATACTGTCGTATATTAGAGCATTCACTTTTCTTAACTTTCTCTACATGTTGCTACCTAGGCATGACAATCTAACCCGCCCCCGTGGGTACCGCACGAACCCCCCCGATTTGGATGGGTATATCATACATATATGATCTAAAACTTCAACTTTAAACATCCATAAGCATCAATTCATTCATAAACATATTCAGGCCCAGCGTAGCCTAAGCTCGCCCAGCCTAATCCCAACCTAAGAGTCCTAAGACTCATCCACGCCCAGCACGTTCAAATCACGCTCGGTGTCCTTGAAACAGAGACTCCTAAGAGTATTCACACCTGATGCAACCAAATCATGTCTGGCCCAACATCCAACCCGAAAGCCCTAAGCTCTTCCACGCTTGGCGCGCTCAACCTGCGCCTATTTATTACCAAATTGCATATATCATACCAAATTTCTCAAATTAGCAATTGATAATATTTCAAGAAAATGTTTCTTTCACTTCTTGAAATTCTTTTTATCAATTCAACATGAAAAATGTTTCTTTCTTGTTTTTTCCAGACTTTCTCTTGAAAAGTTGTTTTGAAAATTTGTTTTGATCTTCACTAAAAAATGAATTTTAGATCTTGAAAATGTTTTTCTTTTTTCCTTTCTTTGATCTCTCTAATCATATGTAATCATTTATTTTTCATATATCTTTTATTTTTCAAAAAGAGTTATATTTATAAAGAAAATAAGATTTCAACATTAAAAACTCCGTGACAAGCGCCAATGCGAGCTTTTCAATCGTCTAGTACCGTTTCTCCGTGTCTTGGAGGACTCGGTTGATAAAATAGACTGGTGTATGCATTTTTTGGTGCTCTTGCACTATAACTGCGCTGATCGCGCCTTCTGCCACAGCCAGATAGAGGAGGAGGTCGGCTTGGTGATCCAGCCTCTAAAGGACTGGCAGACTTGTGAGGAAAGCTTTGAAACTCTTGAAAGCCTCTTCGCACCGGTCTGTCCACTCGAAATTTCTGGCTTTCTTAGCAGAGTGAAGATGGGTCTTGCTTTCTCCGCGAGCCTGGGAATGAAACGGGACAGGGAAACCACCCTTCCTGCCAGTCGTTGGACTTCCTTCACCGTTTGAGGACTCTTGATAGACTATGGCCAAGGCCAAGGAATCCAAGAGGTGATATCTTAAAAGAACCAAGAGGAATGGGATGATTTTAAAGCCTTTTTCATATATTTTGTACATAGTTCCTTTGTATAGGTCTAATTTTGCCTTTGTATTTGTGAGACATTTTACTTGCTTTTAATTAGTGATTGTATATTGTTTTTAGGGTGGGTTACTTGGAGAGTTTAACTCCATTTAACCTCCTTTGTTGATACATTCATTTTATATTTTTTCAGTAGGGAAAAAGGGGTGGCATTTAGCAATGCTTGAGGGTGTGACTAGTAATTGGGCCA